AGTACACCTTGCTGCCCTATATCATTTGGCAAGACAGCCAGGATGGGGCCACCATTATTGACTTACCCAAGGGTCCTCTCCTTGCATTGGCCATCTTAGAGTACCAAACAATTGCAAAGTTACTGAGGCCAAAAAATGGCCATTTACCTCACCCGAAGCAGTGCTCATTTTTTTAAAGATTTATTTATTTATGTATATAAGAAACTGGGCTGTAGGTCAGGGTGCAGGGCTAAGAGGATTCACCAGGGATAGAGTGGGGAGCAGAACAGTCAGATCTACTGAAATACACTGCTAAGGGCGGAACAGGAGAGGTCTGCCGTGCCATGTGGATCAGCTCCCTGGCTGGGGATCAAACTCATGCTGCAGTGGCTGCTGATGGTGTCCTAGTGCTAAGACTTAACCCTTGAAATCTACAAACCAATTATGATGTGACATCTTTTTGAGTCTTACAGCCCATAAACAGTGTTACCTCTGTTTACTTAAGTCTTCTCTGCATTCTCAGCTGTTTTGTAGTTTCCAATGTGCCAATATCCTATATCGTTTGTCAGATTCCTCCCTAAGATCTTTCTAATACTCTGGCCATTTTATTTTATTGTGAGAAATAAATGAGGATTGTTCACTCTTATTACCTTTGTACTTTTTCTATTAAATCTGAAACTAATACAAAGTAGTTAATTGAGTGAGACTATGATCCAAATTTGTGATGGCCCTCCCTGGTGGTGCAGCGGGTTAAAGCACAGCACTGAGAAGCTAAAGCCAAATTTGTCTGTTGTCTGTGAGTATTGAAGCTGCCTATTATCCTTTACCAAGACCAGCAGATTTTCTCTGGTTGATTACTAAATTGGTGTGTGAGGTTAGACATTTAGATTAGGGACCGATCTCCTGCACCTGCCATTTGTAGTCACCTGAGTGCTGTCTCTGCTACAAATGCAAACACAAAGCTTCCTTTTCTTTCTGTTCTGCAGGGGATTACTCAGCCCCTCCCTCTAGCTCCTCTATGCCTAGGCTGGAGTGCAGCAATGCATGGGGAGAACATGCAGGCTGAAGGAGTGGTGGGTATTAAGGTGATAGAAGGGCAGGCCAGATCATCAGTTTTTTTAATCTATCTGCCACACCTGCATGGCAGGGACACAAGTCTGAGCGGGGGACGTCGAGGTTGAAGAAGCAGCTCACATAGATTGTTGCAGCAAGATGTCTCTTTATTTTCCCCTCCAGCCTCCCTTTTATACCCTTAGTACCAGGGTGTTGGCCTGGGGCCAGAGGAAGTCTCCCTCACATGCCTCACTGAGGATCAGGGCAGATATTGACCAGCCGCTCACAGGTTGAACAACATACACAGGTGGCAGACAAAACAGGATGTTTTTCTTCCTGTTTTGATCTTGTGCTTAAGCTCAGGGATGGTTGGGGAGGCTCATCCCGGCTGGGACCCAACATCTATCAGTATAGGGCCTCTCTGGTGGTGTAGGGGTTAAAGCTACAGCATGCATTGGATCCCACCCAGGGAGCTGACAGCAGACCTCTCCTGTCCCAGGGCTGCTCCCTTCAACAGTGTATTTCAATCAGTCCACCTGTTCTGCTCCCCACTATATCTCTGGTGAATCTTCTCACCCCTCCCCCTACACCTCTAGTCTACACCCCAGCTCTTGTATGCATAGGTAAATAAATCCTTAAAAAAGAAAATAGGGTTGGTGAAGTATGAAGAACTTTGGGGAGTCCCTCAGGAACATGAGAACAGAATTTTTGTTGAGTCCTGTTCCTCCTGTTCTCCCAGCATCAGTAAATAAAGATCACCTGGAAAGGTGTAGTAACTTTCTGGCCACACCCTGGTACTGTTCCCTTGGCAGACTAGACACTTCCAAGGGGAAAGGACTTGTGCATCTGACATGCAGGAAACAGGGAGAACAGAGGTGGAAAGAAATGCCTACCCGTATTGTGATATAGTTGAAAGAGCCAGATAAGGAGAAACTTGGGGCAGTCACTTTCATTCCTTATAAATACGTTGAACTAGATAAGCTTGAAAAACCCATGCATCTCAAAAAGTTTATGATAGTCTGAGAAGAGGAACTGTATTTAGTCCTTGTCTCCCCAGTACCTAGCATAGTGCCTGGTACATAAGAAGTTGGTAAATGTGATTGGTGAATGAACAAACAAAATACTAGAAAGTCGCCCAAAGTGACTTCTTAGACTTGGCCAGCTGGTGGCAACACCTCTCTGTAGAACCACAGGGGGGTGTTGCTAGTCTTAGACTTAGGGAGAAGACCTTGATTAGAAATGACTACAGAGAAAACAGAAATCATCAGAGGACCAGGTATTTCAAGTAGATGGCAGAATCTCAAAATCCTGACCCAGCTTATTTTCTCCAAGCCAAGAGAAACAAACCCCAATGCCTAAACACACGTCTTCACGGACAGATTGGCAGGGCAATGCTGGGCGGGTGGCAGAGTAAACATGGTCCTAAGAGACTGGCACAGCCACACAGGAGTAGTCCTTGAAGCCAAGGTAATCTGCTTCATGACCTTGGACTGGCATTCTCCTCCTGGGGCTCCTTGCTTTTGCACCCATCCTTTGCTGGAAAACCCAAACATCCTGGCACAGGGGCCAAGATCATTTCCAGAGGGTCGTCCTAGAGAACTCCTCGACACCCCTGCTGGTTAATGTCCAGAAGTTTCCCTGCCAGCAATACCCCCCCCCACAGCACTCCAAGGGGATCTGAACCCCAAACATCTAAATTAGCTGGTTGATGGCAAGAAGTTGAGTATTTCCAAATTCTTGGACCGGTCTAGCTCTTCTATGCACCTGTCTCCTGCTCTCTCCTTTACCCCAGGGCAGCAAATCCTACCAGGGGTAAGAGGTATGGGCATAAAAGGGGAGCGCCCAATGAGGTGTTTCTTTCCAGTTAGAACTGAGCTCATGGGGAGACAGGATGAGGTGTGGTTAGGGTGTAGCTCAAAATCCATAGTTGTGAAAACAGTTGGGGACTGCAGGAGCATGGGGGGGAGGAGGGGTGCTGTTCTCATCTGACTCCGTAGACCTGAGCAGTAAAGGGTGATATGGCAGCAGGAGAGAAGTTGCTGGGACTGCTTGGTACTCAGGAGCAAGAACAGCAAGGAGGGCGTGCTGGGGCTCTCAGGTCCTCACAGCAGTGCTCCCCCCAGCAGGGAGGAGACAGGAAACAGCAGCTTCCTCTCTGCCTTTGGTCTCAAGGTCACTGGCTGTTTCAGTGAATTCCAACCTGTTTTAGTTGGCACTGGTACTAGCTACTCAGCACCCTGCTTCCTCCCACCACAAATATCCCAAAGTTTTCCTTTGAAAGGATCTTCATTCACACAAGTAGCAACGGAGTGCTTCTTCATTTGTATTATCTCATTTCATCACACCAACCCTGCAGACTTTTAACTGAAAACGTTGAGCACCAAGGTGCAGGGGCACCAAGTGCCTGGCGGGGGGGGGGGGGGGGGCCCCTGCTGCTGGCAGCTTATCAGGGACCTCAGGGGCACCCCCCACCCCCACCACTGCTCGCGCACACGTGCTCACCCACCCTTCTCATTTCAGCCTGTATCCTCCCCCAGACCAGAATAAGGGGCCCCTGCACATCAGAACAGAGGGGGCCCCAGATGGTTCCTGTGAGGACCTTCTCCCGGGGTGGAGACTTGGCGCCTCCCTCCACAGTAGGATGATACTTCCTCCCCCCTTCTCCTCAACTAGGCCACCCTGCTTTATGGGACCTGGAGGTAAATTAGAGGTTAGACAGGTCCAGGTCAGACGTGAATGATGAATGCATGAAGATCTGCTCTTGTGGGGGCGGGAGGGGTAAGGAGGCAGCAGTGGGGAAGGGCTAGGCAGGGCCCACTGGGGAAGAACTTCTCTTCTCTGGGGAAGGCGTTGAGAGACTTAGCCCCCCCGACCCGAGTCTGCAGCCACAGTGCTCTGAAATTGTAGGCAGGAGGGATACAAGTTAACAGGGAGTGTCCAAAAACAGGATCAGTGGGGGCACAGAAAAGTTAAAAGGTGTGTGAGGGACTCACCTCATTCAGGAACAGCAACTCAAAAAGAAATGCGTGCTAGGTTTTACTCAAGGGGCGGCAGGAAGGACAGGGCTGTGGGGCACCCCCACACCAGGTCCAGGCCTGCAGTCTGTTTCTTTCCTGGCCAGCATCCTTCCCTGCATCCACGTTTGAATGTTGGAGGCCACACTCCCTTCTTGGTGGCTCCTGCATAGGACCCAATGTCTGTCCCTCCTGCAGCCTTCCTCCCTCCACTCCACCTTCACAGCACTGGGTCCCCATGGGCCAGGCTGCAGCTGCTGGACTGCGTGCTGGTGTGGTCTAGCTCTAGTGCTGTAGGCTGAGGGGCTGAGGAGCTGAGGGGGGCGTAGAGGACTGTGGCTTGGAAGGGCCCCCTCCAGCTCACCTATCCACACCTACCTGGTAACCTTTCTGCCTCCAGATCTTCCTGTCTGTGACGAGAACATCCCTACCCTCCCAGATCCCATAATGGATAAGGAAGCATCTTATAAAGGGCAAATGCTGATGGGTGAAAATGACAGCAAATGAAGGGTGCCGGCTGCACCCTCAAATCTGCCTCTTGACTCCCCCATCTCGTCTTACCCCATGGGCTCTGCCAGAGATGCACACAACTGCCAGAAATGATACAACTCTATACCCTCCTCTTTCCCCCTCCCCCACACCCGAGAGCAGAGTATCCACCGGAAATAGGAAATAACGAAAACAAGAACTGAAACCAACTGAGCCTGCATCTGCAGAGGAACTGTCTTGGAGAGGTTACCCCAGGCTCTGACATGGAACAGGGCAGAGTGGAGGCTGAGCCTGAAATGAGTGACATCAGGGCAGGCTAACAGGAACTGTGTGGCAAGGGAGGAGAGGGGGCGACAGGCTGATGCAAATTCTGAGCAAGCACACAAGTGAGAACAAACACGTGTTCTAATATTGGCACCCCGACAGCCACTGGGCGCGCTGACTTCGTGCCTCTTCATTTCTATCCTTGTATTTGTGAACATCAACCACAGAGGCGGCGGCAATTTCGTTTGTTCATGCCCTGCTTCCACGAGGCGGTCTGTCCTTCCTGGCAGAGGACAGGGCCCTTTCAGAGCAACAAAGCTGGCCGCCCGGCTCCCCTGCCCACACCCTCAGGGCTGGCAGACAGCAAGAGACAATTCATGGGGTTCTAGGTCTTTTAATTTTCCCTGTTTTATCCTCTTTAAAAAAACAATCAAATTGGCAAAAAATGTCTGGGGCTGGTGGGCAATGGAGGTGTATTGAAAACCCCCAAAATGCACGCTGAGGTTTCAGGTCATGGTTGCTGAGGGTGAGGCCAGGGTTTGCAGACATCTCCCAATTCACCCCAGGACTTTTTTCCCAAATGGGGGGGGGTGAGCAAAGAATAAGTCCCCCCTTATTGTAGATGAGGGGAGAAGTCATTGTTCCCCCCATCTGTCAAGTTCTTCAGTGGAGATAGAGGTTTTGCTCTCTAATTGCCTATAATCTTCTTAAAAATATAAAACACGTGCAGTTGGCTTTGGTACAAAAAAGAAAACAACAACAACAAAAAACATTCTGGTCCTTGTGGGTTTCTCCCTCACCCCCACCCCCCAATAAACCATTATGGTCACCTCAACCTCTATTCCATCAACTCTAGGAAGCCCGGTGATTTCCCTGGTGTTTCCATGGAGGACAGAGAGGAGAGAACAGCAGTAGGAGCTGAGGAGAGTGGAGAGAGGGCCATGACCCTGCCCACATTCCTTCCTGAGGGGGCAGTAGCGTCCTGTGGCTGCAGCTTCCCTCAAAGACAGGTGTTGCTCGGGAGGGGTTAGAACCCAGCAGCTGCACTGTTAAGCCTGAATAAACCCCAGTAGTGTTAAAGGACAAGGCCCCCTGGTCCCTATGGCTTGGTTCCCATGTCCCTGGTCCTCTAAATCTCCTCTCTCCCTCCATAACTAATAAACAATAAATAAATAAATTTCCCTAAAGTAGAGGGAAAGAGGCGTGAAAAATTGGCATCTGTGGTGTAGCTTCTGGATGCCACCAGGGGGCACTGTGGTCTAATTCCCCCAGTATGCTAGATGGCCCCAGGTATCCAAGGATCCCCAAGAGCTGGCAAGAACAATCAATCAGCAGTTCTTTTAAATGTTCCCTCATCATTGGCAGAATGGAGTCCCCAAGGTTTGCCTCCCCCAGGAATGTTCTGGAGGGAGGGACTCAGGGCAGGGGCGGAGGGGGCCCCCTTAGCTCTCTGAAGCTACAGGTTCCCCGTCTCGACTCTCGGTTTCTTCTGGGATGTCCTGCATTCGGCTGAAATCTGAAGGAAGATGGGGCAAAGTTAGTCAGTAAGCAGAAGCTCCTCTCTTAACCTCAAGTGGGGCCAACTGCACCCCTACACTAAGGGCTCCCCATCTGTGGGCAGGAGGAGCTCTGAGAGAGAAGAGATAGCAGAGGTCTGTGAATCCTTGGGCGAGGAAAACAGGTGTCAAGTAAGTCAACAGACCCACACCAAGGTACTCTGTTCACTGTCAGTATATGAAGACACAATCTCATTAATAAAATGCCTAAAATTTTAAGATTATTGTATGAAGTTACAATAACTTTTAGTTGTTTTGTATTTCCTGAATCAACTAGAAGAACTTTGAGTTTCTGAAAGTTTTATATTTAGGAACTGATTATTATGCCCCTCCAAGAGTGACCCCAGACCTCAGGAATCATCCTAAATGTTCCTGTGTCCCAGGACAAACACACGTTTGTAAACCACAGCCACAAGGCCTCACCCAGGCCTGCACCCCATTTCTATTCCATGTCTCCGCAGGGGTCTCACCTCGTGGACTATGGGGTGGAGATAGTCGGCTGCTACCTTCCTCCTCGCTGCCAGTGTCGGGGTCACTGCTGTCCTGGAGCCGCTCCTCTGGGCTGCCCAGCTCCTGTCTCTCGCGATCCTCAAACGGCCGGTGGATAGAGCGCATAGTCACAGGCAGGTCTAGGCGGTCATGGCCTCGGCTGGACTGTGGACAGCAGGCAGGGAATGAGTAGTGCGACGCGCGCAGGCCTGCTCACCTGTGGGTAGTGGGCACTGCTGTGTCCCGAGACGCACCTCTCTGCTGGGACTCACCACGGAGTCCCTTCAGTAGATCTATCGCCAACAGGTTTCTGTCTGCACCCACTGAAATTTTTCAGTGCTCTAACCAGGATACTAATTAATACTCATCGAGTCTGTTGCTCCACTTTTTCTGGGTTCAAATCCCCAACTGCTTCCCCACTGGGTTCAAATCCCCTAGACCCTTATGTCTACCCCAGGTCAGTCCACTCGTCCAAGCCCCCTTACCTGCGGGGGGGTGAAACTCAAGTACAGGGCGTCGCCTGCAGGGAGGCTCCGTCGCCGAGGGTCCAGAGGCCTGCGGGCCCAGGGGGCCTCAGCGGGGTGGGGTTCTGTGTGGCCCAAGGCGGCCAGCTGCCTGCGGGCCTCCTCAGCCTCCCGCTCCAGCAGAGCCCGGGCCTGTTCGCTCTCGCGGAGCCGGGCTTCCAGGCTGCCAGCCTCCGTGGCCCTCTCTTCACCCAGCCGCCGGCATCGCCGCAGCTCCTCCTGCAACAGCGCGTGCTGCCGCTGCAGTAATGCCAGTTCTGTGGCCTGCTTTTCCGGAGCCACCGGGATAGGCCTGCCGGCCTCTCCATCCCGAGAGTTGGTTCGAGACAGCTTCTCACGCCGCTCGGGGCCCTCGGGGAGACGGGCTTCCATCAAAGTGTCCTGCTGGGCCACAGCTGCCTGGGAGCGGAAGGGGGACGGGAGGGCCTGTCAGAACCGTGTCTTCTCTTTACTCTCAGTCCCCAGGGCCCAGGTCATGATTCCCAGAAGGGTCAAAATGGGGAATACATAGAATGGCTTGTTGGGATGACTGCTCCCCCAAAGGACAGCTTGATTCTCTTTGTGGGTACCTCACATTCCCTCGCCCCACTGACCTGTAGGCCATGTAGAAGTCCATAGAGATTGACCAACCGCTGTAATGCTTCCTGAGGACAGAGGAGAGGGTGGGAACAGGGCAACTTCAGGATGGGAGAACTGACTAGAAGTTGACTAGAAGTTGAGTGTGGGGGTGGGGACAGTAAGGCTCTGGATATTCTGAAGTACAGATTCTCCCCCACAAAGCTCCATGCTGGCGTCTAACTTCTCAGCCTCCCTTCAGTTTCCACACCACTGAACGCCCATCTCACCTCCTGGGGAGATCGCAGCTGGTTTCCATTTCGATCCTGTACGAATGGATGAGGATGGGGAGTCAATGGACACACGAGTCCCAGTAGCTCCAGTCCCAGGACTGCAGTGTGTCCCTTCTCCATCCTCTAGCCAAGTCCCGACACCTCCTGAGAACCCACCTTTTGGCTGGAGTCTGAGTCAGCTCTGCAAAGTTCGATTGAGCCATTGAAGGTTCTGGCCTCACCGTCTGTTGAGAAGGGGAGGCTGAGTTCACTCCCAGGGACGTGGCACACGTGGTCCCTGCCACTCTCCCATTCTTTGACCTCTGCCACCCACTCCCTCGGCCCCTGCCTCAACACTCACTGGCAGTGACCCCAGGACTTGTGTTACCACCGTCAGGCTCCACGGGCAGGGCCGGCTCCCGGGGTGCGAGCAGCAGTTCCACTCCAGGCCCCACCAGCAGGTCTTTCAGGCCCTCCACTGAGGGAAGAGAGGAGGGGATGAAGGCAGGAACAACACAGAACCTGTGGGGGGCGGGGGGGACTCCAGGGCAGGGCCCTTGCCCAAGCAGTGGGTCTCACGCCCACCACTGATGAGGCCAAGGAACCGCAAAGGTGTAGAACAAGAGCAAGAAGCAAGCCCTTGCCCTGCCCTTCGAGCACAGAGTAAGGAGCAGGCACTCGGGGAGTTTATGGACGACAGGGCCTGCGTGCACCAGGGCTAGTCACAGGTCTACACTGACGGCAAGTGGACGAGCCAGGACTCTTCCCGAGCAGCCCCTCACCCTCACGGATGGCATCCTGCAGCAGCCGCTCGCCACGAGGGGACTCGAGGGACTCGGAACGGAAAAGGCCCCTGGGCAGGGTGGGTAGGGGCATCCCGCTGCCACCATCCTCTTCCACCTGGAAGTGTGTCATCTCAGCAAACAGCCCGACCTTCTCCTGCAGCAGCTCCACCAGCGCGCGGTCCTTCTGCTGCAGCTCCACTGTGGACGAGGACCGACGAGCACATGAGGGCCAGGGGCGCCCGGCAGTGCCGGTAATGGGGAAGCGGTCCTAGCGGTTAGGGGCCAATGCTGGGCAGAGTGGAAGGACTTAATTCTGTGTTTTTTTTGGGGTCAGGTATGAAAACAGAACACTTTTTTGTTGGGAGAAAGTAACATATGCACTATTGTTTTAAAAACTAAGAGGAGGGCCTTTCTGGTGACCTGGGGATTAAGTCTCAGTGCTACCGCTGTGAAGGCCCACCATGAAGGCCGGAGTTCGATCGCCAGCAGGGAGCTGACCCACATGGCGCAGGAGACCTCTCCTGTCTTGCCCACCGCTCCCCTCAGCAGGGTATTTCAGTCCATCTGCCTGTCTTGCTCCCCACTCTGTCTCTAGTGAATCCTCTCACCACCCACACCTCTGGCCTGCACCCCAGTTCTATACAAAAATAAGTAAGAAAAATCTTAAAAAAACAAAACTGAATTAAAATGATTTGTAACAGCGGCGTCCACAGTGTTCTTTTTCCCGACCTTCCTTTATTCAGCGAATAAATATGTGCAAGTTTTATTTGGGCACACGACTGCCCAGGTAGACTACATTTCCTAGCCCAACTTGCTATTAGATATGCCACTAGATATGGCCACGTGGCTAAATTATATAGACAGTGGGTGCTCAGGAGAGTATAAAGTCTCCTTGTTCTTTTCTTCCCGCAGCTGGAGTGCGGAGCCATCTATGACGGTGCGGCTGGGGAAGCCACTTGGGAGCTTCGTGTTGAAGACGGAAGAGCAGCAACAGTGCTCTGGGCTTTCCCTTCCTGGACTGTTATGTGGCAAAAGTCATCCTCTACCTTGTTTAAGCAACTGATTTTTGTTCTTTCTATATAATAATTAGATCACACTCTAATAAATGTAAGGTCCGACAGTAAAAAATTAAGGCTTAGTTTTGGTCACCCTTTAGGGGAGCCTAAGTGACACTGTTCTAGCGGTGTGACACACATACATGACACCCAAATACAAGTAGCGTAACCTAGTCCCATTATTTTTACACCAAAGGTAGCAGATCACTCACATTGTTTTAATTCTTGCTCTTTTGACTGAACAATATATTCTGGTTATAGATCTATATCAGTCTTTCTTGCGCCATCTCAGATTTTTAAAATAGTTTCATATCATCCCACCGTATGGATATATCAAATTATTTAATGAGCTCTGGGGGTGGACTTACTCTTGATCCGTCGCAGGTAAGCCTCATCCTCTGTCTCAATCAGGGGGAAGTCCTCCCTGGATGGGCATCTGGAGAGAGGACAGGTTCAGTTGGGGAAGGAGGCCAGGTGACAGGCCAGGACTCAGCCTTCCCTCCTCCCTGGGATGACTTAGCCAGCACCTTGCCCGGGCTGGATTCATTCCCCCTCGACCCCGACTCTTCTGCAGCACAGACCGCCCCTGTTCCTTGATGTACCTGCACCCCTCCAGGATGAGAGGCAGCACAGTGCGGGCTTAGGCAGCCAGACAAATGGGCTCAAGTCTGGGCTCCACCATTTTCCAGGTGGTAACCTCTCTATTCCCTCAGCTGAAAAATAAGGGTAATACCTTTTCCCCAGGTTTGTGGGTAGGATTACAGCAATATGACCATGCTCTGAAGATGTCAATTTCAATGACTAACGATTATAATGTTCACAATTACGAATATTAACACTACCAATTAAGAGTGCCTCTAGATCTGATATTAACAAGCCCATTACATTGTTCCTAGAAAAGGCAATTTCGTATTTCCATAGGCATTTCTGAAAAATGTTCAAAGTCTAAATTGCAGAATTAAAAAAAAAAAGGTAAGCTTACATATATAAAATGGAGAATTCATTCCCTAAAATTGAAAAACATCATACACATCCCAGCTGAAATTCCGGGGACATAAACCGCAAAGTCCACTTTGAATGCTGCATACACGCGACTTTCAGTCTCATCGCGCAGGCGCTGCCTGAGCCTGGCCCGTGAGCCCCTGCACTGCTGCTTCCTCGCCACTGTCAGGCGGCTTTTGTTTCTGAGACTCCTCTGGGGCCCACCATCAGTGCTTTCATTATCTATACTCGCTCTCACTCATATTTAGAATATAAAGGTAAAATGCAATAGAGTAAGCAACAGCCACTGCCTGGGAGACCAGGGCACACCTGTGTGACAGTGCAAAGTGTCCCTGTGCTTGTCGACTGACGCTGCCTTGGGAAGTTGGCCGAGTTGCCGTCGCTGTATAAAACACAATTGATAGCATCTAAGAATTCACAAGCCTGCCCTGCCTGGGCCACCGTGCCTCTCCCCAGCCTCTGTCTCACCTCCACAAGCTGGGTTTGCTCCCGGGGTGCCGAGCCCCACACTGCAGTTACTCACACACGCACGCTCTGCTGAATGACGCGGATCCAAGTGCTCCGGTCGTCCCGGGACGCTGTGTGGACCTCGTACATCTCTGGGGGTGCCGCGCTGATCAGAAACATCCCTTTCTCCTGGTTGGCGATGTCCCGCACGATCAGATTCTGCAGTGATACCACCGAGGGCTTGTCCTGCCGGTCAGAGGAAAGAAAGGATCAAGCCCGGGCATCCTGACCTCGGCTATTTCGGTATTCAACCTTGGAACACCCGAAGGACTGGAAAGTCAACTGACAATTTACAAGGCCAGGCCTGGTACATGCCTGAGAGGACTTCAATTCATATGTGACCCTTGACAATTTAAGATTTACTTCTGTCATCTGCAAATACAGGGTAAGAAGGCGCATTTGTACAGCAACGTGATGCGCATGCACAGTAACAGTACCTATTAGCTACTCATATCATATAATGGTTACAGTAACAGCTGTTGGACTCTGGAGGACTCCAGAGTTCTTTGGGCTTGAGCAGGAAAGCAAGAAGGGCCTGTAATAGTCTGTGCTGTGAAAGCAGAGAAGGTCTCACCAGGGCAGGAAAGATGTATTTCTGGTCCTTCTCTTGGAGAAACACCAGCACATCTGTCATCAGCAGCATCAGCACATCTGGTGGGGGATTAAGACAAGAGGACAGGCAGCATCGGAAAGCTGGTCTGACTGGCAGTCTCCCCATTTTAAGAACCAGACAGATTCCGTTGGCTAGGGCCCCTGACTCCCCTCTTCTGGCCTCTTGCCCCTCTTGCCCCACTGGTGACTTCCTCTGCCTTCCAGACCGCACACCACCCAATTTTTCCAGTTCAGAAATGGCAGAGGGGAAAAGATGCCTGTGTATCTTTAAAAAAATTTTCTGGGGGCTCTCTCTGGTGGCACAACAGATTAGGACGCAGCACTGCAAGCTGGCCACAGTCTCTTCAGTGCAAGTTCAGTCCTGCCCCAGAGCTAACCCACAGGACAGCAGACCTCTCCTGACCCGCCCGCTGCTCCCCTCAGCAGTGTATTTCAGTACATCTGCCTGTTGAGCTCCCCACTCTGTCTCTGGTGACTCCTCTCACTGTCCCTAAACCTCTGGCCTGTACCCCAGGTCTGTATGCATATATAAACAAATCTTACCAAAAAAAAATCTTCTGGGCTGCAACAGACCATAAGGGATCACCCAAGGCGTCTTTACCCCACTGACGCATGTTCCTGACCGTAGGTTCATATACAGACCTGTATGTCCAGCTGCTGGGCTTTATGGGCCTACAGACCCTCTCTGGCTGCAAAGTGATTTACATAGTGACACAGCAGATGTGTATTTTTCTATGTGAAAGGGTCAGAATGCTAGCAAGTAAAAAGGCTTCCCCATGAGAAGGGGCTGTCATTTTTCCAGCTTTCCTCTTGCTATCTAACAATGAAGAATATAAGACCTTTTTGGGACACCCAGCCTTCACCGCCCTGCCTCAGCACTGCCCAGCATTCTGTGCTTGGCAGGGGGCAAAAGTTGGGCTCCTTAGGCATGTCCCAAGGCTAAGCCACCCACCTCCTTCAACCCCAGCGGGGCCTCAGGCCCTGCCCTTTCCACCTCATCTGTGAGGTTCTCAGACCCTGCCTTTAAGTCTGAGGGAGAACAAAGGTCAATTCCCTAAAAGTCAGATGTCACAGTCAAGAAAACGCTCTCAACCTTCATCTTTAGCTTACTGAACTGTGAGCACACAGAAGGGGAGTTTTTTCGCTAAATGCTTCAGAAATAAAGCTCTCCAGTCTTGCTATTTTTAACCCCCCATGGTTTATATTCTTAGCTGCTGCGTGGGAGGGATGGGAAGGAGAAAAGGATGAAGAAAAGTGGCTGAGGAAGACTGGAACCCTTCAGCCCATGGAATGGGCATTTCATAATGCTGGGACAGAGGCTGTGGCCTCAGGCGGCAGCTTGCCTCTGTCCCTCACTCTGTGCTCTCGAGTCTGGTCTGCTATTCTCTCACCTTGTCTTAGGGAGCAAAGACTGCCAGTGCAGTCCAGGAAGAAAGTCTGGGAGTGGCTGCCCTGCCCCAACCTGCCCCGCCTGTCCCTATCTCTTCTCCAGCCTGCTTGTCCTTCACTGGGCTCAGTGCCTTTCTCTGAGCTTTCCAGAACACTGTCCCAAAGCTCCTGCCTGTTGTCTAAGATTCCAACTGATAAAACTAACTGCCCTGAATTTAACCTCTAGCTAACTTTCCAGGCAAGCAAGGACCAAGATCATGTATGACACAAAAGTCCTTCATGAAATGAAAGCCAGAAGTGGTAGAATTTTGCTGTAACCGACACCAAATTAAGATCCGACGTCCAACTCTTGCCTGACCTGCCAAGCTGACCACTGACCTTTGAAGCGCCCGGTGGCTGTCTTCCAGAGCAGGCAACCATCATGGATGAGCTTGCGCCGGAGAAGCTCTTCCCGGCCAAAAGGGCCTTTGCTAGGCACTGGGGTCTGGGCCCGAGGGTCCATGCGGTTGTAGATCTCCTGCAGGCGGGCGCCTTTCTCCAGCTCATGCACATCCTGGTCCACATTGGACAGCAACTCCTTCACCAGCCCCAGGGCTGCCGTCAGGTCGTGGCGCTCTTCCTCCATCCCTGGCACGGGGGTCCGTCCACATGAGAGCTGGCTCGGCCAGCTTCATTCCAGCCCCGGTTCCCATCTCTTGACCACACCTTGGGAGCCTGCCCACGTCGCCACCTCTCACCCTGTCCCTTCCCTTGGTGTCCACAAGCTTTTCTCCCCCAGGTGGCCCTCTCCTGCCTACGCCCGTGTCCCCTCACCGTGGGAATGCTGCAGGATGCGGTTGATGAGCACCGGGTACTTGGTGATGCGCTGAGTCACCAGCAGGATGCACTCCTGGACCCCATGCCGCTTCAGCACAGCAGAGCGGGTCACTTTCTGCAAGCGAATCAGTGGGGCTCAGGGTTGGAATGGGGCAGCGGAGGGCAACCAAGAGTGCCTGCCGGGCTCGGGGCTTGGAGCCTGAGCTCTGGGGCCCCAGCTCAGCCATTCACTTCATGGCTTTCCAGACTATGTCTGGAAAATAGACTAACTTGCCACAGGCCTATGGTGAGGCCCAAGCAGACAAGGAGAGAAGGGCACTGACTCCGCCACCATGAGGGCTGATGGAGACAGGGTACAGGAGAATGGGGAACGCTGAGCCCTGGCGGGTGCGGCACACACACTCCCCCATGAATGTGGCTCTCAAGTGTGGGTCCTGAGAGGTCTGCTCACCCGGATGAACTGCTGGAAGCGTTTGTCCCGGGCATACAGCTCCTTATATAGCTTTAAGGCTTTGGTGTGGCGGCTGCAGAACTCCGAGTAGGTCTTACGCATCTGCTCAGCACTGGGACCTGAGAACTAGAAGTTGGGGGGACAAGACTGGGTCAGCATATCCCCCCAAAGCCTGTCTCCCAACACCCTCAAAACTCCCACCAGCCCAGCTAGTTTCCTGCCTCTCCAGTTCTCCCTGGAGGTAAGACACACACAGTCCCTGCCACGAGTCCTCCCTTTCTGTACCTGGTTAATGAGCAGGTCCCCCAGGCGATGGATGACGAAGTTCCGGGTGCTGCCAGGGCACAGGGCCTGACGTCGGCGTTCTAACAGCTGGCTGAGGAAGCGCGTGTGGATGTCACTGAGCTCATCCACGCAGGGGAACAGGCCCTGGACCACTCCGGGCTCCAGCTGCAGCTCTTCCAGCATCCCCGTGCGGAAGAGGCGGGTCATGATCTTCAGTGTCCGCACATGGTGCAGTTCTGTCTGGATCAGCTCTGTGGGGACAATGGGACACTTGGCCTCTATCTTGGGGTGGCTGCGTTAGGTGGGGAGCCTCAGGGCTCATCTGAGGTGTTAAAACCCTTCCAGATTAATGTTCTACACCATAATGTTCTACATCATTTTCCCATCAGTTTTTACCTTTCTGTCTGGCCACCTCAAGGTTTAAGTGGTTTAGGGCAGTAACAGGTGTTTTCATGTCTAGGTTTTCCAGAGTCCCCAGCACAATGCTGGGCATGAAAGTGTCAGAGCATAAAAGAACTGATTTCAAAAAAGGGATAAAGATAGGTGCTTGGACACTCTTGGGGGGGGGAGGGAGTGAGGGACCTAGCAGCAATTAGGAGGCGCCAGGCAGCCTTAAAAGCCAGTAGGGTATATGAGAAAGGATTGTGAGAGGTAGGGCTGTAGAAGAAGGGCACAGATGAACAGAATCCGGAGAAGGAACACAAGTTTGGACAGCCCCAGGGGCTCACCATAAATGACATCCTGCTGCTTCATCACCTCCTTTTTGTGCTGCTGCAGAAAGCTGTTATCCACAGCAAGGCTCCAGGAGTCAGCCGCAAAGTCCTTCTCATCCATCTCAAAGTCACTCATCAGCTCATTGTAGATCACCTCGGCACCTGAACATCAGCGAGGGAGACAACTAAGGGCCTATTCTCTTCCTGGGACCCTGGGCCCTTCCTAGGTCCCTCCCACCCCCCATCCCTGGCTTATTCCCACCAGACACGCATTTCAGATGCCCCCAGCTAGGCACGGTCACCTTCGTCGATGAGGGACTCCACTGACAGGGTTCGATTGCGCATGTTGAGGGAGTCTGTGGACTGGGAGAGGATCCGGCGCAGCCCCAAGGGAGACTCATCGTTGAAGTGTCTGAGGGCAGGGGAGGCTGGCTGCATCACCCAGACCCAACCAGAGACCCCTTCCGGGGATGGGGGGACCCAGGCCTGGGGTCTGAGTTCTCCTTACCTGTCCATCTGTAATTCTTAACTCAGGGACAGGAGGCCCTCCCAGCCTCCCTGCTCTCCACAGCCCGGCTTTTCCAACCCTAGCAGAGGCTCACCCAGCAATGTTGGTGGTGGAAACACTCTTGGCTAAAGACAAGGATGAGCGGCCGCGGCGGGAGCCTAGCAGGGACTGCCGGAAGCTGTCTGAGGGGTAGATGGCAGAGCTAGGCCGTTCCCGGTTGGTGGCTGTGGGGGGCAGACACCGAACAGGCCAACGTCAACCTCCTCTCATCCAGGAATGGAAACAGTGTTGTCAATGTGTACAAAGCGCCTTTCTACTTTTTCTCTGAAATAAGCCTATGAGGAAACTGAAGCTCAGAATGTCTGGGCCAACCCTGCCGGTGCTGAGCAAGCATTCGGCACTTTAAGCACCCAGCTCCCTGATAGGCCAACACTGTCGCCAATACTCCCATGCAGTGTGAATGAGTGGTAACAACACAGGGTGAGACCAGGCTCAGCCAGCCCGCCAGCCACCCCAAGCCCTCAGTCCCCTTGGACTGCTCCTGTCCTGCCCCTAATCCCAGGAGTCTGGACATCCCCAGGGCCCACTAGTCTAGTGGTGAGGAAGGTGCTGTGCCAAAGCTGACCTCAGGGGGGCAGCAGAGCTCAGGCTGAGGCTGGGGTCCTGACCCCCTGCAGGGGCGGGCTACTCACTCTTACTTCGAAGAGAAACAGACTGCAAGGCAGTGTTGTTCTTGATCAAGGCGGCTTTCTGTTGCTGTGAGACAGGGCAAGGGAGAGACACCAAGAACAGCTGTCATCCAGGGGTCACCTCCTTGGGCATGGGACAGGAACTGGGCAGCTGGTCTCCTTGGGAAGAAGCTGGCACCATAGCTAAGGGCATCAGGGTGGCTGAGCCCAAAGCTGGGGAGGTGTCTCCAGCAGCAGTCTAACCCAAGAGGGGCCCCAGGCCTGGGGTGGAGGCTCTGGGCCGCCCCCTGATGAGGAGAGGGGTTGAGGAACACAGGGGGGGATGAATGGAAGAGGCATGAGGGCACCACACACTCACTACCCTCTCCCCCAGCCCTCTGCCCTCCCTGCCCTCTCACCTTCTGCTTGACCTTGGTGCAGTTGGCGAGGGTGTCTTTACAGCGGTTGTGGATAGTCACATTGCAAGCTGGGAGGGTGGGGTAGAGAGGGTGAAGGGAGGGCCAGGTGGTACGGGGGGCGGATACACCCACATGCAGACACCATCTCCCCCTGGACACAGTCTCAGAGACGGCCCCCAGCCCAAACTTCTCGACCATCACCATCCCCAGTCCCTTTCCTCCCACCTCCCTTTCCTGCAAGCAGGAGATGAAGTGAGGGGTGCGGGTATAGACTCCAGTTAAGCAATTAGGAGGGGTGGCCAATCCTGACTCCAAGGTGACCTGAGGGGTGGACTAGAGGGAAGATGGGGTTCACTGGCTGCCAGAGATGAGCTCAAGAAGCACAAAGGTGGTTAGAACGACAGATGGAAGAGCGGACGCCCACGGAGAAGATGGCACAGGAGCAGCTGGGATGGGGGCTCAGGGCAGGGGGGAATCACATTCCTTGAACATCCAGCAAACCCCCTACACTCACTTGGGACCAACAACCTTCTGTGGCAGACTAAAATATCCTTACTTTACAGATAAGAGAGGAAACTGTCCTCCAGAGCTCAAACTATGGCCAGAGGCCAGCGCTAGTGGGAGAGCTGGGACTCAGACTCAGAAATGCTGGCTGCTCTTTCTGCTGAGCCACATGTGTGCCCAGGACTCTGGTCAGGCCGAAGAAGGTGGAAAGCTGATGTATGGAGTGGCAGCACGGGGCCAGTCCTGCCCCTCCCCACAAGCTTGCTCCGCAAGGCCTGCTCAGTCTGTGACTCCCCTCAACGTGCCTTCTCTCTCCCTTCCAGGCCCAGGGAGTCCTGCTCTCCATCCGCTTCTCCTTCAACACCCACCCCACCTTGGCATGGGGAGGAGAGGAAAGGAAAGGTGAGAAGCAGCCAAGCCCAGGCCCCGGGACCATGGCTGTCCCCCTTTCCCCACAGGCCATCAGGCCTCAGTCGTCTCCAGCTTCCCTCCCCCGTACAACACCGGAAACTCTGCTAACTCCTTCAGACAATACCCAGCACCATGTTCACTTCCACAAATACAAGGCCAGCTGGGTGGGGCAGAGGGACAGACAGAAGTGGGGGCTGGGGCTGCCCTCACCCCCTGGAGCTCCCAGAGGGTGGGAGCTCCTGCCCCCAAGCACCTAGTGTCTCTGAATCGAACCTCCGCTTTCCACCTGCTCTCAAAATAGCGATGGCTGCCCGCCTCCCTGGTTCCCCTGGCAACAGCTTCCAGATTGGGAATTTTGTCAGTTCTCTAGAGGAATCTAGATTGGGGTTCCCTCTTCATAACTCTAAGTTGAGCAGTGAGGAAGCTGGGAGGCCTTTCTGGTTCCTTCCACAAATTCCACAGGGATTTAGGGGCTGGCGTTTCTGTTCTACTGTTCAATGACAGTCACACCTCTAAACCTGCTCTAATCAGAAGCAGCTCTTTGCCACAAGCTGGAGGTTGGGGAGGTGGGAGGCAGAGCAGAAGTCCTCTGTGTGGGGATCCTGGGAAGGAAGAATTCCTTGCTTATACTTTCTAAATGCAAGACTCCCCACTCAGACCTGGGTGAACCCCTAGACCCTGACACACACAATCCTAGCTGTTACCTTATTCTGTGTCTCAGTCAGACTGAAAATCCAAGACTAAAACCCCAATTCTTATCCTCCGCTTCAAACTACATAGATTTCGAGATTTCAGGCCCCACCAAGTCAACAGAAAGTGGGGGCAGAGGATCCTCAAGTTTACCCAAGAGGACAGCTAGCAGCAGTTGCAAAGCCAGCAGCTTTCTGTCCCACCTTCTCCCCCAACATTCCTCTTCCTCCTTCAATTAGTTCCCCTAACCCGCGGCAGCTGTTCAGGGAGTTGGGGGATACCCAGTGGACAACAGCTGCAAGGGGAGCCGTCCCAGTCAGCCACCCCTCCCCCAATTCCCAAACAGCCTCATTGGTGCCACATTCTGATGGCCACCAGCCCTGCAAGCAGGGGGTCAAAGCCTTTGGCCCTGGCATTTGGGCTTGACAAGGGCTCTCAGGGGAGAGTGACCCTGAAAGGACACGTGGCAAGGTCAGGTCCGGCAGGCAATGAGTCAGAACGACATTCAGGGTGCAAACAACTCACTCGGGCAGATGAGTGCTTCCTTGGCTGTGATGCTCTTGTTACAGGCATAGCACATGGTCATGCCAGAAACGGAGATGGTGGTGAAGAGGTGCCCATTGGTGTAGCGGGCATCCTTGGCTTCCTTCATCTTCTCCTTTTCCCGGGTCTATGGAAGGGGTGAGAGAGACAGCAAGTGAGGATGGAAGAAGCCGGTGTGTCCAAGGTGTCCAGAGACAGCCGAAGGGGGCTGGCGGGACGCCAGCTAAAGCAGCGGCCGCGGAGACGGCAGGGCAGCGGTGGCGGCAGCCCTCGGGACCTTGCTGGCCTCTGACCTACCTGGACCCTGCGGCTGGGCTGCCTCCTGTTGCCACTCATCTCCCTGGATCTAGACCTCACCTCGGCGTCCTCACTCCACCTCCCAGCCTGGCTCTGCTCGCCCCCTGAGCTGCTGTAGTCTTCTCTGTGCCGGGAGGAAGATGCGCGGAGAGGAGGGGAGAGCAGGCGAAGCAGAGGATGCCAGCTCACCAGCGCTTTAAAATCTATGGGAGTGAGCTCCTCTCATAACCATGACAACCAGTGCTGGAGCCACTGTCTCCACGCAGTCATGGCGGGGGTAGGAGATCCCCTTATTAGATTGGCTGGAGGGGGCAGAGTACCTCCACTGCGACCCCTTCAGCCCCCTCAGGCAGGAGCCCAAGCCTGTAACTTCCCCACACACCAGCCAGGGGAGCAAAGCCCCTCACGCGCCAGGAGGCGGCTTGCCCCTACCCAACTTCCAGGCTGGAGGAGCTTGATTCTGCTCTCAGTCACTCCTCTCCAAGTGTTTAAGGGAAGCAGTTCTGCGGCTGGTGTCTTGGGCTCATCCTGGCAGGAAGTCCCTCCTGCAGTCTAACTCCCTCTATTCCTCCTCCTCCACTTAGTGGCTCCCATTCGAGGGCGTCCTTGCTGGCATGTACTCTTCATCTTCTGCTGTCTGCAGAGCTGAGGCACATGTCCCTTCTCAAAGCCCAGAGCCTGCTATTTTCAACTCAGCTCCTCTCCAGTTTGCTCCCTCACCTCTGTGGGGCAAGACATCGCTGATGTCTTCTCTGTCCCTCTTCAAGCTTTTGAGAGTCCCTAAGAGCCTGAGATGTGAAGATGGGAGTCCACTTTCCACCTATTCCAGGCCCTTCCCCAATGGTCACCTGAGACCCCTGGCCTTTCCCTCTACTCTTAGGGGACAGACAGCAAGAGTCGACTACCCCACACCCCTCCCACCTGTCAGAAACCAAGATGCAGGAGCCAGGGAACCAGGGCTGAGGGGATGGGCCCCAAATTGGAGAGCACTGGCTGGGGCCCTGAGACAGAGCTGGAACTGGGGGAGTGCTCAGTGTGGCCCCAGATCTGATTCTCAGCTCCAGACACATTAAGCCTTTAAGTCTTTAAGGGGGGAGAGGAAGCTGCACTGGTCAGGTATTGAGGGCAGAAGGGGGCAGAAAGGGAAGTGAGGAGGGGTTGAGTCATCAGCACCGGTGCCAGAGGGCACTGGGCTGCAGAGCGCCAGGGTCTCAGGGCGCTGGGCTGGGCGCCTCCTCTCCTGCCTCCTTCAGAAGCTCGCTTGTCTCAAGACGAGTGGTGCCAGGCATCTCGGGTCATTCCGGCCAGCGGTGCCAGGCGTCTCGGGTCATCTGGCCACTCACCACCCCGCCGCCTATTATTCTCTTTCCCCTCCTACTGCCTGGTTTCCTTTCCGTGTTCCCCTTCTCATCATCTCCCTCCTCCACCTCTGCCTTCCCTTTCTTTAAGCTTTTCTACTGCCCTTGATCTGCCCCTCAGTACTCCCCACTGAGGCCAACTCCTCCCCCACCTAGGCCTTGCTAACGAAGTTCCGACCTCTAGTCTGACTCTGGCCTCCAGCTTCATGCTCCTTCCTTTTTACTGGTCTTCCTACTTGCAGAAAAGACTAGAAAATACTCCCTTTTATCTAACATCTACCCATGTTGCTCCACATTCTAGCTCTTTAGAGCAAATGCTCCCCTGAATAACCACTTACAGGGCCTAAAAGACAAAGTCCAAATACTTCACTGCCACCCCCTTCTCTGCTGCCCTGCCTCCCTGTCTTCTGGGACACAAAAAAATTTGAGGATTATTATACATGAGAGAAAAACAAGCACTCCAGAGTGGGTGGTGAGGCCCAACAGCTACAACTCCCCTTCCCAGATGACCTCTGCCCTCCGCCCTCAGGAAGCACCGGTGAGGGAAGGAGAGGACCGGATCAGCGCTCCTCTCAGGCATCAAGGCCCCACAGGCCAGCCTGGTCCTCTGGGCCCAGCCTCCTCCACCTGCCACACTCACCTTCTCCTCTGGAGATGCCCCCTCTCGGGGGGCCAGCAGTGGGCAGCAGCCCCAACAGCACATCCCAACGCGGAGCTGCCCTGCAGCAGGCGGCCCCAGCACTGCCTAGCGCTATTGTCCCAGAGGCGGCGGGGCCTGCCCCAGAGTGGGGTGGACGGCTTGTTTGGGTCTTTGTCCTCCTCTTTTCCAGGTATTCTTAGGATAATCACATCGGACCCCACTGACAGCCCCACCAGCGTCTATTACCCCACAATCCGCCACACCCAGCCCCGGCACTCGGAGGCCCTTCCTGCTCAGTCACCTGCTGTCCGGTGTCTAGGGTCATTCCATCTCACAAAGCCCTCCAGAAACCACCTCAAGGGTGCGATGAACAGAGCGTGAGAGCACAGCACCGCAGGTACACAAACAGGCTTGGAAATGGAGGGGGGACGGGCGCCAAGACCTGGACCCCAGTGGTACCTTTGTCCCTGCTCCAGGAGGCTTCTTCCTCTCAGGGCTTCTGAGCCTTTAGTCCTCTTGTCTTATTTTGCATTTCTCCCACCCTCCTCTCTACTTCCTCTGAGATCTCCTCTGGTCATCAGAAAAAGGCCAACCCAGAACCTTCTTTTCATTCGTCATCTCAGATCTCAGTCACATGGGGGTAAGGGTATGGGATGAACGGCAGAAGGCCTGGTGCTTGGCGGTTAAAAAAGCTCAAAGACAGAGGCTGTCTCCGCTCCGAACCCCTTCTCTGCACATGCTGCCCAGGCCGAGGAGGAGGAAAATAGAAAGGGCCACCACAAGGCCCATCTGAGCCGGCTTCCGCGCTCCCTCTGTGAGGAGCCTGCATTTCCAGCTGTCCCTGCTCCTGGCTCGGCTGTCAGCTATGGGTCAACCAAGAGCTCAGGGAAGAACTGTGGGCTGTTCAGAATCACCTCTGCTCCAGCTGCCCCTTCCCCAAGATGGCGAGATCTCTATCCAGGCCTTCTATGTGGTGACCAGGAGCTCCTGAACTACAGGCGTGCTAAGTCACAGCCTGGGCAGGGCCCTGAATCACAGAGAGTGAGTTAAAAGGCTGAGAAATGAGAAGGCAGAGTGTTTCTGGCCGGGGAAGGAGAAGGCAGCTTGGTACAGTCTTGGTTAGGGTAGGGTCTTTCCCCGGCTTCCAGGGACAAGAGAAAGGCAGGAGGCTGAGGAGAAGGCAGCTACAGGAAAACAAAAGCCAAAGCCCAAACAGCACAGAAAGACATGGCTGCACACACAAAGGCACTTAATAAATGCTTGCTTAATGAATGAAGACGAGACTCCGGACAACGGGGGAGAGCACATCTGTGAGGCAGAAGGGAGCACTAAGGGCCACAGGAAATAAAACCAGGCTAGAGACCCTGAGGCCCAGGCATGCACCCTGGACCTCAGCCTGCCCCCCATGGGCCACACCTGTCGGGTCAGGAGAGAGACAGGCAGGGAGGGGGGAGTGATGCAAACAGACGGGCATTTGTGCAGGCGAACAATAGCTGTGCCAGGACTCCCTGCCCTCCTGGCACAGGGCAGGCCGGCTGAGTTGGGAGGGGACAGCTGCTCCCCCCACTGGCCCCCAAGGAGACATAAACAAACCCAGAAGGGTCCAGTCAGCGACTGCACTCTTCCTCTTAGCTCTGGGAAGCCTGACTAGTCTGCTCACTCAAGCTCCTCCTAGATGATGCTTTAGACCCAGGCTGAAGCTAAGAATGGATCTATTTCCTCCTGTCCAAGCAGAGTGAGCCCCCTATTTTGGTAACCAATCTGAACGGTAACCCAGAGCATCTGGGGACATAGACACGCACATACCACATGCAAGCATGAAATTCATCTATCTCCTCCCTGATTCCAAGGTCACGGTTCCAAAGGGAAGCCAAAGGGACTGAGAGCAGACCCCTCTTTCCACTCTGTGGTGAGCCTCAGCCAAGTCCTTCTTTTGACACCCCCCCCCAGCCCCTTCCTGGTTTCCTTGCGCTTCAATTCCTGTCCCCCAAGCTCCCTTCCTTTCTCCTTCCCCATTCCTGTCTCCTCCCCTCCCCCCCCAGCTCTTTCCCTAACCTCCAGTACCCCTAGAATTTTTCTTATGCCTCTAAAAAGACTCAATCTCTTGGGAGACCCCCAGTTCCTCAACTTGCCTCCAAAACTGCCAGCCCTCGCAGCTCCCACCTGGGCTCCCAGCCCTGCTCTCCGGATGCACTCCCGTCCTGCACACAAAGCCAGCCACCTCTCCACACTCAGAACAAAGAAATAGTCTCTCTCCTCTCTTCCCCACTCCACCTGCCTGCAACACTCCAGTGCTGGGGTCCTAGAGATTTTAAGGGGACGCCCAGCCTCTAGAGCCATTCCTGGAACTCTGGACCCTCTGGCTCTTAGACAGGAAAGGACCCTTTTGTTCTGAGTCTGAAGGTTAGGGTTGGGGGGAGGGAAGCAGAGGGGGCTACAGAGAGAAGAGGGACCTATGAGGTTTGGGGCCTGAGGAGGTAGGAAGTAGAGCAGAGAGAACTGAGGGGGTGGAAAAGTGAAGACAGCCTGGAAGAATAGAAACAGAGTGAAAAGAAAAAGGAAGCATGGGGAGTGGGAGCTACTGAGAAAGAGGCTGTGAGGGTGGGAAGGAGGGCAGGTGCGACCTTAAATTTCTCCTTCCATCAAGAGGTGCCAGCAGGAAGGCAAAGACAAGGAGAGGGGGGATGTGGGGCTGGGGGAGGCTCGCTCGGAGCCCCCCCCCCAGAGGTAGCACGGGAGACCATCTTCTACAAATAATCTCATTTCCAGCGGGCCCCCCTCTACTTCCCACCACAGTATAAAAAGAAAAGAGACAGCTGGTGTGCTTGGGGG